GAACGCCTGGTACCAGCTCCTGCCCTCGGAGCACGGGTGGGACGCGGACGTGGCACCTGGCTGCTCCTGGCGCTGCCCCCAGTCTGGCAGAGAGCTGTGCCACGGGCAGCCTGTGCTGGGGTCAGGCCTGCAGAGGGGAGGCAGAGCCCACTGCCCCACCGCCAGGCTGCAGCCCCAGGAACTGCAGCCGGCAGGCGAGCTCTTCTCCTAGGCGGACTCGACAAGCAAGGAGCAGTGCTTGCTGTGGGCAGGGGCTGGCGGGGGTGGGCCCAGGCAGCGCAGCTCAGGGTGCCGGCGTCTGCCCGGAGAGGTGGCAGCCAGCTCCCCTGGCCCCTGCCCTTCGGGAGGAGATGGCGACGTACCGACCGAGGGGGCGTAGCCATTGTAGCGCCCCGAGTCCAGGGCCTCCTTCACTGCCCGGGTGACCTCGTCGTCCGTGGGCAGGTTCCTGAACACTGTTGGGTCACCTGTGGGGAGACGGCAGCAGCCTTGTACCCGAGAACGACCGCAGCCACCCAGCACGACACATGGCCCAGCCCCGCATCCCACCCCCCGCCAACCCTGCCACAGCCCCTCACCGATGGACAGAGAGATCATGGGCTTCTTGGGGTTGGGCTCCACACGCATGCTGTCCACGATGGCGCGGATGGGGTTAAAGGTCTTCTTGGACATCTCAGAGGCCCTCACTGCCCACCGCGGTTTCCGGCCCTTCCCCTTGCCCGGGGCTGGGCCACTGCCACCGATGTTGACGTGGACATCCAGGATGGCGGGATGGTCCCCGTGCCCATTCATGTGGATCAGGTATGACTCCATGTCGAGGCTGCAAGGAGAGGTGACTGCCCGGTAAGCCACGTGGCAGGGAGTCTGCACCCACCAGCCTTGGCCATGCCCTGTGGCCCCTGCGGCACTTGCTGCCAGACCACATGGCCTCTCATCCCAGTCCCCAGGGCGGAGGGTGAGAGCTGGGCCAAGGGCTCCAAGGAGAAACAACTGCCCTGCTCTGTTTTCCTGCGACACCCAGTGCCCACGGGGTCACGCTCAGAGAGCTCCCCGCAGGTAGGACCTTGCCCCGCACAGCCCACAGACCCAGCCTGCCAGCATGCAGAGGGATGTGCACCGTCTGCGATCTGGGGGCCAAGGCCTGCGGAGAGGAGGTGGCACCGCGTGGCCCATGGAGCAGCTGTGCCGAGAGAGCAGAGAACTGTGCCCGCTTGCTGCCCGGTACGCTTTGCCACCACGCCAGGCTCGGCTGCTGCAGGGAGCTGTGGCTGGTGTACGAGCTGGGGCGCAGCCCCTCTGCATCTGCACGCCTGTGCCTGCCACACTGCTCACTGGAGCCTGGGATCATGCTCCAGCCACCAGGCACCTGCCAGGCGGTGCCTCCTTCCCTCAGCCCCCGCTCCCCTCGGGGCTCTCCTCAGCCCCACCAGTGCCACCCCGAGGGTCCTGCTGGGAGGTGGAGGCTGCTCCCTCAGTACCAGACCCCCAGCTGAGGGTACGCTGGCCCGTGCCCTGGGACCACTCATGCACTCGCCAGCCCAGGGTCCCCCTAGCCCCCACGTGCTGGCACAGCTGGCCCCAGAGCAGCGTGGCCACAGCGCAGGGCAAGGTGCTGGCATCAGCCAGGCAGGGCATGAAGGCAGCAGTCCTGGGAGCACAGCAGCTGTGCCCTGCCCCTTACCTCCTGTGGCACCAGGGAGACGCAGAGCGCCCAGGCCCAGCCCAGCTCTTTTATCCACGAGGAGCTGCCGTGAGAAGGAGCCCTCTGCGAGCTCCTGTCCTGTGAAATAAGCCCTGGAGCTGGGCGTTGGGCACGGACCCTCTCGTCATTGGCTAGCGGCAGGGGCTGCACCCCCCCACCCGAGGCACCCCCAGCCCTGCGCTCGCTTCAAATATCTGGAGAGCGCCTGCACATTAACCCCTTCTGGGGCCTGCAGGCAGGGGAGGGCATTCAGTGGGGGCAGTCGCAGTGCCCCTCGCACCTGCACTTCCCAGCCCCATGATTGGGGGCTCCCCAGTTGGGCAGGACGCCGGTGCCCAAGCCAGGCACGCCGCAGCCCTGTTGCTCTGGGATGGGCAGGACTGCAGGGTTGGCACGAGGCAGGGACTTATGCTACACGTGCCAGGGCCTTGCACCTCTGTTCGAGGCACCCCAGCCCCAGCAGGGCACAGCTCCTGCCCTGCCCTGGTGCCTGGTTGGGCAAGGCCCTGCAGCAGGGCCCAGCTGCGCTGGTGGGCACTGCCGAGTACCATGCCCGTGCCGGTACATGAAGGGTTAATGGGAGCTGTGACATCTGCTATCTGGGGCCCCACAACCTGCGCCTCTTGGCAGATAAAGCGGCTGATGCAACCTCCTGTCCACGTCGCATGGCGCTAACGGGTCCCACATGCGCCCCCGCACAGGCACCGCTCCCCGCTGCGGCGCCAGCACCACAGGGCTGCCCCAGGCTGGCCTAGGGGGCAAGTCGGTGGCAGCAGCCCCGGGTCAGCAGTCCCCAGCCTCCCCACCCGCCCTGACTTGCTGCAGATCAAAGAGCCGCCAGGGCTGGAGGGGCCAAAAGTCATGGGATGCTGCCTGCTTGCCCCAGCACAAGCACCAGAGCCAGGCCCCAGCCCTGGTCCTGACCCCCAGCCCCAGCACGGCGGCTCTGCCCAGGCACACGCAGGACACGCACTGTCACAGCAATGTCCCCTGGCCAAGGGGCCCTGGAGTGGCAGCAGAGGCTGCTGGGGCCAGAGCAGACTGCAGCCCAGGCCCAAGCGTCCAGCACAGACATGGACAGCTGGCCCCTGCCCCAGCCCAGCAGCAGGGCCGCAGCGAGCATCCCGTGGGGACAGTGGCTTGTGTGCTGCAGGGTGGCTGAACTCCCAGCCTGCCCTCACGCTCACCCCCAGGGCCCAGCCTGGCCGAGGGCCCGCGTTGCTGCCCCCACCCCTGGCCCTGTGCCCCGTGGGGAGAAGTGCTGAGTCCTGCCTGGCAGGAGCCTCAAGGCCGCGTCCTGCCTGTTTTGCCTGGCAACAACCCCCCCGGCTGACGCCCCCTGCCCCGGCTCTCCCCATTGCCTGCGCAGTGCGGGTTCAAGGCTGGCCAGGGCAGCACCTGCTGCTAGCCAGGAAAACACGGCCCTGCTTATATAAGGCTGGAGATGTGCCAGGGGGCACAGGGGGCAGGATACGGGCTCTGGTCCCGCTGTCCCCACAGTATGAGGGCACAGGGCACGGGGACATGCACAAGTCCCCTCCAGCTGGGGGCCAGGGGAGCGATGCCAGGAACCTGCCCCTAGGGCAGCACTGCCCACGCTACCAATGACCTCAGCAACACACCCATTCGTGGGGGCCAGCCTGCGTCAGCACCCCCTCCCCAGCACCAACACCAGCCCCAGGCACTGGTGCCAGCTGGGAGCCACCCTCCCAGCCTGGGCTGGGCCACAGCCGGGGCAGGGGCTGCTTCCACTCGCAGGCAGTCGGGTGACGCAGCCGGGCACTGCTCTGATGCAACCGCGTGTTTGCAGCGCACCATGCAAAGTCTGGTCCTGGGGCTGCCCCCTGCCTGTCCCTCCCACAGGGCTGCGCAGTCAGGCACAGCCCACGTGGCTGCAGTGACACCAGCCAAGCCTGCAGCCACGGGCAGGGGTTGGGCACCGAGGACACGGGGCAGCCCAGCTCTGCTTGCCAATGCCAGCCTTGTAAGCTCCCAGCTGGGAAGCAGTTGGCCCCAGCCGTGGGGCACTGTGGAGGCCAAGTCGTGCCTGCCAGGTGCCTCTGCCCAGGCAGAGCCTGGTGTCCCTCGCCTTTGGGGCTGTGTCCTTCCTGGCCCCCTGCCACATTCCCTTCTGGCTCGGGCAGCCACCGGCCCCCG